TTTACGATCTGAAATCTAAGCTCAGTTGAATGCAGCAATTGCAAAACCCAAAGCAGATTCGTATAATTATAACTATAATAATGACATTATCAGACAATGGACTATGTGTATTAGTCACGTTGTTGCGACTAAGGAGACACTTGCTGACTTGCTCTTTTTAGGAAAGGTAATTATCGTTTCTTTGTTGCAACAACGTGATAATCATAAATCATAAATGCGACACATAAGTAATATTCTAATTTGGAAATTACGCTATGGAAAAGGAGCACATGCAGGAAGGCACAAAGGAGGAGGATCACATTAGGAAGGCATTAAACTGCAGACATATTATTCTAGCGCAACTTAAAAGACGCATTAAAATTAAAACGCAAACACTGTTCCTAAATTCAGATTTCTTGGTATCGTCATGCACAGTGGGCCACCATGCTGTAATTGACGAAAAATTGAGTTCTTTTAAAAGGAATTAAGTAAGTTTTGTATTGCAGTAAAAAATCTTGGCTATTAGATGCAAAAACCATAATTGAATTAATTAAATGGCTTTCGCGCAGCGCGTCGGCGAATTTACGAAATTTTTTTGACTGCCAATTTTTTCACTTTTGGCAGTCAAAATTGGCATAACCCATCATTATATTTCTAAAATTGGCTTAAAACACCGTATATTGACTCCTAATCAAGGTGAAAGTACTCTCTTTGCTTCAATTCATGCAAAAAAACCATGTAATCATATCATTTAAGCTGAATTTTTGGCACGCACTCAATTTTAGGCCTCATTTTTGACTAATTTTTGCTTAAATTTGGCCAAAAAAAGTTTATTTGCCTCAGGTTGCCCCACTAATGCATGGTACCATCTGAAAGCTCAGACGATTCTCTAAACAATGGTAGAAGAACTGTTCTGGGGTTTTTTGGGGCTTTTTCAGAAAAAAATTCCAAAGTTGAAAAAAGGCCCAAATTTGATGGAATTTAGACTTACCTTGCAGATTTGAAAAAAATTATTTTTTCTCAAACAAACCCCATTTTGAACATCTTTCTTGGCTCTCAATGTCGTGGCCTGGTGCCATGAGGTTATGGGGTACTAAAAAGTGGTCTGTTTTGGAAATATCATCAAAAAATGCTATTTTTCTGGAATTTTACTGGTATTTTCTGACAATTTCAGAAATTTCTGGCATTCGCGCCCAATTTTCTGGTTTCAATTTGACATAACTTTGGCTACGATCAATATTTTTCATAATTCAAAAACTAAAATGATCAATAGCCTCAGGACTATCAATTTAAAAACATTCTAAACACATTCAACGATTATCTTTAGCAAAAACTCGAATTGGATGCCTCTAGACCTACATTTCAGCCATGAAAAATTTCTATGGAATGAGCCAAAAAAAATTTTCTGTGACTTATAAAGGACCAAAATTTGTTTAAAAATCAATATTCAACTGATTTGAAGTAAAAAATAATGTTTGAAATGATCTAAATTGATCACTGATGCATGGTCTATTACAGTATGACCCCCTATTCTGGCCCACTGTGTCATGCTCCTCAATTATTTCATTTGCATGAAATCTTCCAGGGCGTTCTTTTGGGAAGCATACTAGTAAGATCAAACCCGAAAGTAGTTATTCGCCAAAAAGTAACTTCAAAACTTGCCTATTTAGTCTCTGTACTTGGTGACAAAGGGGATTTTTACAATTTGAAAGCGAACAATCGGATAAGTGGTTATAAAATGTGTAGGGGTCAGCCAAAGCTTAGGAACAAGGTAATCATTCTAATGCCAAACTGGAATTTTTAGCCTGGTTATGCTTAGAGAACTACAGGCAAATTCATGCTACAATGTGTATATACTCCGTAAATAAGGTAGGTTGTTCGAATGAAATCAGTAATACCAAAAAAACATTAGCCAAATGTGCACCTATTAAAATATTAAACTACTCCAACTATGTCTCAATAATAAAGTAATGATATGGATTTATCAACCCCTTGAAACAGGTACATAACGATCTAGCCGCGAAACTATCCTTTCAGTATCCTCTATATAGGGTATAATAGCTGTAGTAAGTTTTTAAAATCAGTATAATACTGCGTCATGTTATTCACTGCAAAGACGTTCATCTATTCCTAGAAAGACGTTCTACGCACGTCCAAACTTGAAGACTTTGTTGTAACTTGCATGAAAAGCATTAATATGTATTATCATAGTGAGCCATGACCATTGACCATATCGAAAATAAATTGAAGTCAGAGAGATCTGAGAGAGATTTCTTCGTTGTGTCCTGCCCCGCCCCATATCGATTATAGATATAGAATATCATTTGATGATGCGTGCGCGCCTATGCGAAAAGCTTACTTTTCTTCTTAAACTTTATGATTAATGATAAAAACGTTCATGAAAATGAAATATGCCTGAACGCATGATATAAGGTTCTGTAATAAGCTAAAATAATTCAAACAAGTTAACATTTCAGGTGGTACGGTAAGCAAAAACTATAAATATTATAGTCGTGCCTGTTTTTTTGATATTTAACACGATAATTTCAGCTGTTCAAACACGATACCTTTTACCAACTCTAACGTCACATGACCGTGATAAAGAACTAACAGAGGAGTTTCTTTTAAATAAAGATAAAGGTGAATGACGCAGTCGCTAGTTTAATGGACTTTAAAGGACCACTTATCCAGCCAACAAATTATAGTGACGAGGTTGAGACTATTGTGGGAGTTAAAGTGAGACTATAACATTAAAACAACGGGAACGAGTTATAACAAGAACTGCAAAATAGTAGAGTTCGGGAGATGAAACTTAATAAATTAAGTTATCTAATAAATCACATGCGATTCCTCACTACAGCAGATAAGATGTGTCGCAGAGCACGGTAAGTTCCGGACATTATTTTGTGGAGTACATAATATAATACGTCATGCAGTGAGTTTATCACATCCTAGAATAGCATCCATACTTTTATAGTAGACCCTGGTTGTCGGGTCAACAAAATGATTGATATGGAGCCTTGAGTCATACTACTAACATTACTAATTTACTAAGACTTATCTAAGTAGTCATCTCTAACTACGTCAAATCTTATAATTTCTGATTGTTAAACTTAAGAGTGCGCGCAAGCTAATGGGTAATGAACAAAACGTGGTCACATTAAAACAAACGTCGAGGAAAACATGTTTCATATTCCTGCGGACAATACGAATAGGTGACACGGTGGAATGTGGTTGGGGCTGTGGTATGTGCACTACACACGCAGGCAAAGTCCGGTAATTAACACTGCACTACCACGCTTGTGAAAGATATCAAAAAATTACCACAAAAATTAACTTAATTACTACTGATTTAAACGTAATTTCAAATTTGTTCGAGATGTGAATTTCCAACGAAGAGCGTAATGTTGGCAGCTTCTAGTTCGTTCCTACGAGGAAGAATGGAGAAAAAGCGGTTGTAGGAGGAATGCGGTAGGAGATTTCATACAATAAGACAGGCTCAGGAATGAGAGATGACAATTGGCAAGGATGAAAATTTAAAAACGGTAGATTTTTCTAGACTCAATCAACACTAAATTAACCGGATTGAAAGTCTTGGTTTGTCCAAGAATTCTGGAATTTTGCTTGTCTAATTTTAGTCTACAATGTCTTCTACTGATTACTAATTATATATGAACAGATTTAAAACAGTCCGGTACTAACTAATACCCCTACATTCTACAAGTAATATACTAGCTGTATTGTCAGTGTAGCTCCAACAAAATCAGATTTGCTCATACTGATCTTCAATTTCGATTCAGATTCCATAATTTCATATTATATTATTGTTGTGATAAGGGAATATCCTATTTTATAAACCCACTTTACTCCAGACGAACTAATAGAGAAAACTATCAACATTTTACTGAAGAAAAGACGAGTCCAATTTATTTGATTATCTGAAAGTGAGTGGACGGATAGTCTAGGTTGTCATGCGAACATTTGCAGGCGAGTCAACCAAAAGGTGGGGGATTTATGGATTATTTTTTAGACCGAAACAAGGTCGACCCTAAAACGTTAGATTATGCAATAATTATAGTTAAACGAATAGTGACATAGATACAGTGACTGCGTCTAATCTGTCAACATTTTACTCAAAAAAAGACGATTCCAGTTTAATTCAGAGAACTGTGGAAGGGAAACATTTAACTGAGGCGAGGGTCTCAGGGTCAGTTCTGAGAATAAACACAGTGAGCAAAGCTGCAAGGGACTCCGGGAATTAGAAATAATACGATTACATCTCTGCTTACAAAGAGTGGGAAGGTGAAGAGGGGGTGGATTGTGGGGGGGGGGGGGCAACCATATTAAAGTATATTAAAATGTAGGATTGGCCCAGGATTTTTCCCGATTTTGACCCGGGGATATACTTTAATATACTTTAATATACTTTAATATACTTTAATATATCCCTATCTCCTTGGAGGCCTACATCAAAAATTGTTGCCCAAAATAAGCTTGAAATGCAATTCTTAATCGATTCCAAAAAGTTTGAAAAAATATTGAAAACTGATGGAGTTATTTCAATTTTAATGAAGTCATTTTGGCTAGTATATTATGTGCAATTTTCCCAATTTTGTTCATGGAGGTCTTTTTACTTAGTATCCACTATATTCAACAAACACTGAGTTATATCTTTCACATAGAATTAGTCTCATTAAAAAATATTAAAATTTTATCGAATTTGGGCAAAAGCGAATTTGGGCAAAAGCGTATGCCCAAATATGGGCATATTTTTTAAAACTCAGCCAATTTTTGACCAATCTGGATGGAAATTCATGTACTAGTCCTAGAATAGGCTTATCTTGCGAATCTTAGTGAAAAATATAGTTCATCATGTAAATCTTAACGAAGAATATAAATCTTCTAATTGTAGGTATATTAAAGTATATAATTAAAATGTAGGATTTTTTCCGATTTTGACCCGGGGATATACTTTAATATACTTTAATATGGTTGCCCCCCCCCCCCCCCCGATTGTTTACCTGATATGGGATGGAGGTAGTTGGACCCACTCATCTGCTCTTGACTCCCTATTCAGCTGTATAAGAGATCTGCCTGGATAAGTATCTATAGAGAGTCTGTGTAACTTTCTACCTTTTCCAACTCTGCGGGACAAAAAGTGGTTTAGCAATCTTCATTTGTAAGTAATTTGGGTTCTTTGAAGTTGAGGTAGCGTACCTGCTGATTGCTGGATAATGATGAAATTGTATTTCAGATTTCAGAATGAAGCACGGCCGTGAGAAGCTAGCCACTAAAGGCACGAATTTGCATTAGAATTATAATACAAAGCTCGAATTTTCGCGGCTGTGGTATAGTATAATATATCTAGTCTAGCAGTGTCAGTTTAGTAAAGGGAGTTATTTAGTCTCGTAGCTACAGAAGACTAATATCTTGTGTATCTGTTGACACTCCAGCTCGATAATGAAGTGATGCGCAGCAAACATGTTACAATAAATACTATATTATATAATAGTACTATACAGTGTCATAAGGCACTCCTATTGTAACCAATATTATAATGTTCAATATGTTCACTTGTACACTTATTGAGTAGAATAGCCTCAAATGATAGATCCATGCCTATTAAACGCGACGCGATTGTGAAGAACGTGACAAGAAATAGGTATATAATTTAATGAACAATCGCATTACACCAGGAATCAGAAAGGATCAGAAGGGGACAAAGTGAGTTTGTGAGAGTATATTATTTCGTGAGAGTGTTGTAGACTTACTGTTTTCTAGGTATCTGATCACCTTCAGCTACTTTAGTGTTAGTCATATTGTTATCTGCCCTCTGCTACTAGCACAATCATCTTGCAGTTACATTCTCTGTGATACTGCTAACAAATGTTAATAAATTAGTTATTATCACAAATCAAGATGACGTAATATAATTAATATAATTAATATAATAGACCAGCCGAGGGGTAAAGAATTGGTACACGAACTTCGCAAACAGCAAACCTTTATACACCAAATGTACCCATTCGCTAAGGATCGCACTTGTATTGGTTATAACCTATAATATAACAATACCAATATGTTACAATATTATAATATTAGTATTATGATAACAAATTATGTTATTTTACATTTAAAGCAGATGACTGTCTTATTTTTCAGTTTAACTGCTCTGTTTAATCTAACATCATTATAAAAGCCTCAATTTTCGCATTTATTCGTGTAGTGTGCAGTACATGATACAAATTAAATAATCCTGTGTGACAATATACACACTACACAGTGCAGTGCGTGGAAAGCACCACATGATAAGGAACTGCCTCACACGAGATGGCTCTCATTACATCATTTGTTCTGGATCTAATGGTAGTCTGTTTACATAATGTATAAATGTAGTTGTTTGTCCCATTGCTCGCATCTTATCCGACCCAAATACGTTTATTTAGTTGCTGGTTTCGCCTTAGTTCAGTCGTGAGATAATATCGAGATATGGCTGATGACTCGACGGAGTGCACCCCTCTTAAGACGGTGGAACTGGAGGAAAGTTCGTCCTCAAAACGCAACATTTCAGAGTAAGAATGCACACAACAATTGTTCAACCTAAACTAACAAACTACGTACAACTGTGAACTTTTGCAAAGTTATTTACATGACACTGCTGATCAGGGTTAAGAAAACTTGACGTGGTCACTGTACCCGTCTAACATAATACCTTTCTCAGATTATCATGCTATATAAAAATAACGTTACAAAGTCTAGAATGTTCCAGAAGGAAATAAAGAAATTCAGATCTTTCTGGAACATGCTATGTTTGAGACCTGGCCTTAGTTTCACAATTCAGTTCCGATGCCCGAACTTAATTTCTACGCAACATTGTACTATTAACCACCTATATTACAAGGAGCACGCTGCCGTTTAAAGCCAAGCTGGTAACGTTAGCTGCAGTTTTAGGCGGGTTCCTATTTGGGTATGATACAGGGGTTATAAATGGAGCTCTGGTACAACTGGAAGACAGACAACCTGATTGGAAGGTAAAAACAATCATGTGATGACAGATTAACGTTTCATTGAACTAATTACAATTTGTAATTTATAAAGTTGAAAAGTCGCATAGTGCGAAAAACTTTGTTGACTATGACTTAACACCAGTGATAAAACTCCAGTGATAAGACAAGATGATCGTGAATAGTATAAAACTCCATCTGTAGATCTGATCACGGCAATCTGGCTTACTAAACCATTCATAATGCTTGTTACAGTTGACAGATACCAAGAAGGAGTTAATAGTCAGTTCAGCGATATGGGCATGTGCTGTAGGAGCCTTGTTAGCAGGAACCATCAACAAATATCTTGGGCGAAAGGTGAGACTTAGATAATCTAAAACTTAAAGTTTGAAGTGTTGTATGATCTTACCAACATTATAAGATTGTATTCAAGGTTGCAGTTACCACCAGAATAGAAAATAATCGAGGACAATGCAGATACAATGTACAATGAGCGGAATACAGTAATGACAATTATATTCAGATAAGCATGATGATTGGAGCTGCTATCTTAACCGGAGCTTCTTTTATCATGGCATTAGCACCAAACTGGCAAACACTGGTCTTTGCAAGGGCAGCTGATGGAATCGCTATCGGTAATATTAATGCAATGACTCATTCAAATAATTTCAATTCAGTGCATGCCACGTGTGCTTTTTGTCTAACCCAAGTCACAATACTTGTCGACCAATGATTGTTAAATCATTCCGAGAAACGATCTATGAAGTTTAAAATGAACGGCTCAAACTAAAGAACGTATTCCAGGTTTTGTGTCAATGACAGGACCACTGTACATAGCTGAACAACTACCTAACAACTGGAGAGGTCCTATGGTTGTGTGTTACCAACTTCTCATAACTATTGGTATTCTGGTGGGGAGCATTTTGGCGGGAATATTTGAACCTGTGCCGAGTGGCTGGAGGTAAGGGTGTTATTACAAAGTTAATATAACGGTGTGTGCATGTTCAGTAAACTATTTCTGCTGTATAATAGACAGAACATTTGATTCGTAACAGGTCGGAGGTTCTCCGACTATTTTATTGCAAATACTCGTCACATTACGTCGTATAGTATTTGTAAGCGACGTGATTAACATGGATATCCGCAGGTGGACACTAGGGCTGAGCTGTGTACCGTCGACTATCATGTTTATTTTCATGATCTTCATGCCTAAAAGTGTGAGATGGCTCTACTTCCAAGGAGAGATTGAAGAAGCAAAACGAATTCTAAAAGAGGTAGCACCTCTGATAAACCGGAAATTATCTGAAAAGCGAATTAACTATTTATTATAATCCAGCACCGTAAATAACTTAAATCGCTCAAATTTCTACTATACGAGATTTGAGTCGGTGATTTAAGTTATAAAGTCACACTTCACTTCACAATCTTAATATCATGTGCAGTATTTTCAGATAATGGAATTATTTACGTACGCTCTCTTGAATAATTTATGCTTGATTTATAATATTTTACAGTTAAGGGGAACGGATGACGTAGAACTGGAAATGGAGGAGATTGCAGAGGATTACAGGAAGACGAAAGATGACAAATTACTTGGTGGAAAAGGTGATAATAAATTAAATGATTTGTACTTATTTACAGTGCATTGTATTAAATATCTGATATAAATCTGATAAGTATTTTGAAGATTAAATTATTATATAAAAACTGATAAAATTTTGAATAGAGGTGCATCATGCAGCAATTTTATTGACCAATCATAGATTTGGGTCACAAAAATCAATCACTCATGACCATGACCATGCAGGATGCCATTATTTCACAAGACTGTAAAATAAAGGCAACAATCAAACTAAAATCATCTCTTTTCAACACAATCCCCAACATTCAAAGAATCAAGCTCTCAACATTTTCCTTAAAGTCCCCACATTATAAACTCTAGAGAGTATGCCCACAGGTTGCAGTCTTCTCTTGAACATGTTGCGGAACACAGCAGTCAGGAGGGCTTTGTTACTGGGGGTGATGCTGCAGCTTTTCCAGCAGTTCTCAGGCATCAATACAGTTATGTGAGTACTGTCATGTTCTACTACTGGGAATGCAGGTGCTTTTAAATACTTGTTAACTAAATTGTGGGTCCTATCATGCACTTTAAAACCCATTTCAACCAATTTGCTCCTTCATAAAATCAAGAATTCAAATTCAAATTTGGACACGAGGCTTGGAACACACTTTAGATTTCTTATTTCAATTCAACCTTTGGGAATGGGATGAACTCATTTTCCATGAAAAAGAAAAAACTAGAGAGTATAAAGTAGAGACCACTTTAAATACGAACAGAGTAGTAATAGTATCTAAATATTTATACTGTGTTGAGCAGAATTCTAACGCACACACTATTATTGCCTAAGTGGGTATAAATATAAATATTAAATATATATAATAATCTAGATAATTTAGTGATTTGAAGATGGCACTATCTCTAGTGGTGCAGCTTGTTGAGTTTCTATAATTTATTCACCATGGCAACCTAATAATAACACTACGATCCGGGATTCCCATTATAGGCCAGGGTAACTAAGAAATTTGAAGTGCATTAATTCATCCAAGGTTCCCGTCTAAAAGTGACAAGTTAAGAAAAGCACACGTACAATGTACATAGACCAAAGTTACGAGTTGTAGAGCCTCGGACGTGATTTTCTACTTACAACTGTCCAAACTTAGATACAATCTTTCAACGGAGCATGTAGTTTTGGAATGCTGAATAGAATCGTCATTTCTTAGCACATCATTCCAGAACTAGTACTCAGTATTACTATTAGTTCCGGGGCCCAAAACGTACAAATATTTCCTACGCTATAATAGATTCCAAGTAAGAACAGAACATTATTAAATTGGACCATTATTTGCCGTCAAATATTTTATTAAACGGTTTAACTTTAACATTACTAGCTCACATATTTGCAGCTATTACTCGGCAACTATACTGGTCATGTCCGGGGCATCTTCAAACAAGGCTATTTGGCTCTCTGCTGCTGTCTGCACTGCTAATGTCGCCTTCACTTTCATTGGTTAGTAAACTGACTCTAAATATCAAAATTCAAATTATGCTTCCATAAATATCCTCAAAGACTCAATTTCGTTAAATTTGGATGCACGATGGTATATCTTGACGTATGGCTCCAAAAAAGTAAGATCATCAATCCAGGTAGCCCATACGGCATACATATATGATAATTATAAATATATTATAAATAACATGTTGTAATTCTATCTTTAACATAATGTCATGTGTAACATTTTTCACGATCCTTTGCGTAAGGTCTAATACTCCAATATAATCTAGACTTCTAAACATTGGTCAGGTGTGGTGAGTGTTGAGAGGCTGGGGAGAAAGGTACTACTGATGTGCAGCATGGTCGTCATGATGATCGGCCTTATCTTGCTGGGCATTTCCTTCATTGTCATTGATAAAACCTCTCAGGGAATCTTAACAGAAGGTTAAATGTTTTGTTTTATCAGAATTAAATTTACATTCCATTGCAGCGGTCACTAATAATCACATTGCAGCGGTCACTAATAAATACAGCAGATTACCAATTTAACCATGGCCACATTACAGGAGTCGGAGAATGTATGACTGTATCTGAGTCCTGCTACAGCTGTGTAGCTTCTGAAATGTGTGGTGTCTGCAGCAACTTAGCTGGGGACCTCATGTGTGTCTCTGCTAATGCTACTGACCTGATCTCATCTACATGTGAAGGTGAATGGTGTGGTGGACTACTGATTTCTTATGGTTGGTTGGGGACTGGCCCGTGGTACCAGCCAATGTTTACTCAAAAAATATATATAATATCAATGGTAATAAGAAAATCATCCCCGTTGGGGCACATGCATAAATACAAAATGTTAAGGAAATCTCAAACTACTCAATTTAGACTCTACCGGTAAAGTATGCAATGAAGGTTTATAACTTAAAGTTTAATTTTCTAATGGTTAATAGGTAAAGATTAAAAACAGTAAAACAAGACTGAGCACTTCAAAATTTGTAGAATTTGTAACTTGATTTGAAATACGCGGCGATAAAAAAGAATGTCCAATGTTGGCAGTGTAAATGATGAGATATGCGACGTTTATTGAGTGATGCATAAGTGTGTGCATATAATCTAAGATGTAGAGACAAGGTTATTATCGGCATTTTGGTTTATGTTACGCTTTGATTTTCTTAGTCCTGTTATACAAAATAACATGAAATTAGGCCATTCGTCTTCGATGTTTTCATTTTGCTGATCGATGAGCATAGTTTTTATACAAGTTTTGTAAATGTTCAGGTTAAATAGACTAGGCGGGGAAGTTGCTGCAACATTATATCGGTTTATTGCTAATAATGGACCTTTAAAAAATACTGAGTTGTTGTAGGGGTGTTGACCATACTTTTCTGACCATTGTGTAGTGAGAATAGAATCCGTGTTAGTATTAAATAATGGTGCGCTTTTGGGAATTGTTTTCTTGAGAGACAATGGTACTAGATTAGGAAAGTTTTTCAATTTATGCATTAAAATGAGTGCGTTCTTTACAATGATACTGTGTACTGTCAATATTTTATGTAAATAAAAGCCAGACTTAGTACTTGCTGGGGGGATACCGTCCTTGTACCAGTAATTGACGAAACCAGGTAATACTGCACGAAGGCCCATTTTCTGTTTTACAAAAAGTGAGTCAATATGAGACTTAGCAGAAAAACCCCATACAAGGCTGCAATAATTAAGGTGTGACTGCACAAAACTTTGATAAATTTGAAGACGTGCTTCGAGAGGCAGATATTTTTTAAGTTTGTACATGACTCCTATGTATCTGGACATTTTCATTTTCATGGCAGAGATATGATAGGACCAGTTTAGTTTATCATCTATTATAACTCCTAAAAAACGGGCTTCTGTTTTTCTCTCAATTGTGACACCAGAAATTGTCACATCACGATAATTAAGATTCCTTTGTCGAGAGAAGATCATATAATTTGTTTTCTTAAGGTTGAGAGCTAAACCATTATTATCTACCCACTTAACTAAAGCATCGCTAAGAGTTATTAGTTTATCGTAAACTTCATTAAGATTTTCTCCTATCAGGAAGATGTTGGCATCATCTGCGTACATAATGAAATTGTACGCAGATGATAATACATAGTATGCTGTATTTATCTAAAAAACTTAAAACTCGGTTATGCATTAGCTTTTCAAATACTTTAGAGAATGAAGCAAGAAGAGATATTGGTCTGTAATTTTTTATGTCAGATTTAGATCCACTTTTGTGAATTGGGACCACCTTCGCTTCTTTCAAAGCCTGTGGAAAGATCCCCTGTTCAAAAGAACTGTTGACAACGTGGGCTAGTACACTAGTAAAACTGGGACAACTGTTAGCGATTTTTAGAGGTTCAATTTTAGTGTCTAGTGTGGCTTTATTCTTAAGCAGGTTTATGACGTCCTCAATTTCAGTGGCAGTAACTGGCTTTAAGTAAATACTACTTGGAGTGGCGTTGCGAAGTGTGCTCTGGGTTCCACCAGGATCAAAAGTGGTCCTACTACTAATTTCAGACTTAATTTTTGGAGCGATGTTTGAGAAGTAATCGTTAAATTTTTCTGCTACAGCTGCCGGAGTGCTGATTGAGCCGTCTTCGTCAGTCAGTTTTATTAAGGTAGGTTTAGATTTTTTCCTATTTAGAAGACTGTTTATCATTTGCCACTGCTTCTTAGAATTTTCTTTGTTTTGCTCAAAAAATTTTTTGAAGTGCTTGTTTTTAGCTTTATCGATGTGTTTATTACAAAACTTCTTCAGACGGTCATATTTACTGCGGTTGCTATCAGATGGTTCCTTAACAAAATCATAATATGACTCATTTTTACGTTCTATAGCTTCTTCGAGCCAGGGCAGCATCCATGGTTTCGGATTAACACGTTCATTTTGTCTTCGTGATTGTCTTTTTGTAGGATAGGCAGACTCGTAAATCTTATTATAAGCCGTATTAAAATTATTGAACTGTTCGTTGGCATCATTGGTATTGTTAAAAATTTCTGACCAACTTTCATCTATAATTAAGTCTCTGAATTTTTGATTGTTGGTGTCGTTAAATCTACGTGTTTCAGTTTGAGATACATTTTGTGAGTTAGACGCAGAGCGGTAGCTGCTGGTTGGCGTGTTATCAAGATTTATTGTAGTGACTATTGCTAAGTGATCCGACATATCTGTTGTTAAGACATTACAGCTTATTGTATCCTCAAGATTGTTTGTGTAGATGTGGTCAATAAGCGTGGCACTATGGTCCGTTAGGCGAGTTGGGCGTGATACAATTTGAATAAAACCGTAAGAGGAAGCAATATCTATAATGTTCTGACATGCTTGGTCGCTGCTGTGCTTCAGTAAATCAAGGTTGAAATCTCCATGAAGCGTCATATGTTTACGGGTGTGTCTCCCTAGGTTGTGCAGCGTATTTTTGAAAATTTCTAGAAACGCTTCAGGTCTCCTAGCGGGAGAACGGTAAACATTGCCAATTATTTTCGTTCTGTTGTATCCTTTGCACTGATGGAGCTTAATAAATTGGAATTCGCCACTAGTATTAGTTGGTTCAGGGTTTGGAGTGAAAATATCAATTTTATCATAATCGACTACACGTTTGTGTACATAAATGGCTAGCCCCCCACCTTTTCCAGATGGGCGAATTGGATCCTGGATAAATGGTTCATGAAATCCATCTAAGGTAACGTCGTTTATTCCGTTCGGTAATTTCCCTAAAGTACAATTAGTTTCGTTAAAACACAATATATCATACTTATCATAAGTCTCAATATCATCACGTAGTTGATCTATATTCTTAATAAGGGATCTTATGTTCATAGAAAATGTTTTAAGTTGAGAGCAGGTAGATTTTTTCACGTTACGTTGTTGTTTGTACTGACAACTAGTTAGGAAAGATGAAATATTGCTCCAAGTTGAATCTTGATGCTCTTCGTTGGTCATGGCGTCGCCAATAAGATTAAATCGACTATTCTGATCGTACGGATTAAATATGTCACTATTAAGATTACTGTAGTCGTCATAGATTTCATAGTAGGTTGCGTGAAATCCAGGAATGATACTTTCACAGCAACTCGTACAGCCTAAATTATCCTTAAAACATTTGACATGGACATTACTTTGGCACCATGAGCATGTGCGAATATTTTTAATAGAGTAACACCAGCCGCTGCAGCTTGAACATTTGATCTTGACTTTGTTTTCAGATGTAACAGTGGGTTCCATTTAGAGCTAAATATTATGATTGTGATACCGATAGTATATAAAACTATAAATATACGCCTATTCACAAGCCTGCGATAATCATTACAAGGGAATGTAATGGCTCATAGCATGAAACAAGTCTTCACTTTACCTTCTCCCTTTCCAGGTGGTAAAGTGTCTGAAGTTTGCAAGACAGAATACTCCTGGTTAGCTGTAGTCGGACTGGTGGTCTACATTATGGGCTTTGCTCCGGGTATGGGACCTCTACCATGGACTATAAACAGCGAGATATTCCCAAACTGGTCACGTGATACTGCCATGTCCATCACTACTACTACTAACTGGATCTGCAACAGTATCATTTCACAGGTAAAATAACTAGCCTCACAAGTCACAATAACATTAACATTGGGTCAATCATAAATTCGAAAGCTAACTTATAAGTGGACACTGAACAACAATGTAAAATTCCTCACATCAATATTACGTGGTACTGTGACAATCTGTTTTTAGACGTTCCTACAACTAACGAAGGCGGCTACAACCTCCGGGGCCTTCTTTATCTACTGTGGTATAACACTAATTGGTCTGATATACTTCTTCATCTGTCTCCCTGAGACGAGGGGTGTGTCCCTTGAGCACACTGAAGAGCTTTTCTCGAGTAGTCTCACTTTCGTCGGACTCAAGACTGGATTAAGAAAGAAAGAAATCGTAAACAATGAGGATGAATAATAAATTAGATAATATATAATTAGATTTCAATATGTCGATCCGCACTGCTATGTTTAAAGATGAACAAAAGGTGTTTATTAGCTATTAAGCTATAACAGTCAATCGTAAAGTATCGAGTGATTTTTAAACTGTGCTTATAATATTGGTTACTACTCAATGTTGATAATTTTTTATTTTAAACTTTTGCTTCTTAAAAAAACTGTGATTCATTATGTAGATTTCTGTAGAAAAGTCCAGAGTTTCAACAACACAATATGGACAAATAGAATGACCCAATTTTATACAATCAAATAGATGAGAATAATTTACTACAAAGTTCAGCTCCGAATACAAAATAAAGGATCTAAGTCCACGTGATCTTAAAATCCTTGAAACTGTAGCCATTTCTTTATTTCAAAAGCCCTCCAGCCCAAGCAAGTGATTGTCCCAGTGACCTCATTAGCCACCACTGGGATAGTCTCATCATCCAAGAAGTTCTCCACTGCACCTCTTAAAGCTTCAATATCCCCCTCAATCTTTGTTATCTGTGTAAACCTATGAAAGTCCTGATTTTCTTTGTGTTCGACTGGAAGTGTCTGATCTACATTCCGCCACACAAAGTAAGGAAGTTGTGGTATGCTTGTTGGAGGAGGCACCCAACCACTAGGCATTGCGTTTGGGACACTCCTAGGTAAGTTGGAAATCTTTATTCCAGAGTCCTGAGTAAGTGCTGATTTTTCCAAAGTTTTCAGATAGTTTTTATATTGAGTCCTATCTATTCGTGGGACCTGACCATAATCGGGTTGCTTGATACCGGATCTAGAGAGACCTGGTCCCATGGCACCGATGTAACATCTTGTACAGACGGGTATACTGTTGCATGTTTTTCTTATGCACTGCATCCTGGTAAGTAAAAGTAAGTTAGATAACAGCTGTTAACAGTAACGCAATTTTATCATTTTCTGTACAAATTTGTGATATATCAGAGTGTGTGGTGAATTGTTAAAAGTTGACATTGATAACAGTACTAAAATTAACACATTTTCCTATTGTAATTTTTAGGTTGAATGATCTAGAACAGTGTCAAGTGTCAACTCTTGCTGAGTAACATACATTATAATCATATCATGTTAAAACTGAACAGAATATTCAATATCTGAGTTTTGATGAAGTACAGTTAGGGACAGAAAACCTTCATGAACCCTAACAACGTGCATAATGGAATTAGAATCCCTGTAATCTTGAAGCCAGTACTCACTCCCGCGGAGTAATCGGTTACCAAAGTTACCAGAAAATTAGGTTTACTTAATATTATACGATCTTAGGGGTTGTTTTTAATAACCTTTGCAATATGACCCTAAATAAATATTAGAACCTTTGGGAAAGAGCTCGATATTTCCCGTGTTCTGGCCACAAATTTTAACGCCCAATTCCATTTTGTAAATCTCTGATTGTGTTGTGTATTGAATGAGTCACTAGATTTCTTGTGAGGGTGTCACTTCAAAATGGGGCTACCGTATAAGACAAAGCTGTTAGTCTTCTCAGCGGTAATGGGTGGATTTCTCTTTGGGTACGATACAGGAGTGATGAGTGGCTGTCTAGTTGCTCTTGCAGGTGACGAACCCACATGGGACCTGGAGGTTAGTTCATGTTTGTGGAGGATAATGAAAGGGGTTATATAATGTACACTTTGTTAATTCATTGTATTGATATTATATATTGATGACTGTGTTCACTGTAAGATAATCAAATTAGAATTCTAAAACAGTGATAAACAATTTCATAAGATAGTGCCGTGTGGAAACTTCACTTGACTGGTGACCCTGGCCTTACCAATCTTGTAGAAATCTTTGTACTGATCTAACCTGCCCTTACACCATACAAAATGTTACGATTCATTGTCCTATATTAAGTACTTAATTATGAAATGAAATGAGGTATTTATATCCCGCTCATATGATTAACCAACAACACAAGGAAGGTGGTTGACCATGTCAGAGCGGCTGACTGTGAGTGATGTAAGCAAATGTGTAAAAATGAGCAAGAGTATTATAACTCAATATAAGGCTAAGACAAAATTAGAATCACTATACACATATAAATATATAAATAAAAGTTAAATTAACCCCTCTCCTCAAGACTATGCTCTATATTTGATAAATATTTCTTAAGGAAAGGGACAGCAGGAAGGAGCTCATAGTAAGCGCAGCAATATGGGCATGCGCAGTAGGAGCTCTTATGGCAGGCTTCCTCAACAAATTCTTGGGTAGAAAGGTAATGTTGAGCTTATATAAATTCATAACTTCCAGCTGTCGATCAAATAACAACTCTTATGTAGATAAATCGTTTAAGATTCATCTAAAACAAGTTGTAAATTTCAATTCCCAGATAAGTATGATGGCTGGAGCTGCTATACTTACAGTTGCTTCCTTTATCATGGCAATAGCACCTAGTTGGCAGATTCTAGTGGTTGGTAGGGCTCTTGATGGAATTGCAATAGGTAGGGCTACAATAGACTACATGTTTAGTATTTCGTCGTGACTGGAAATGACAATCAATATTCAATGCTTCCTTAGAACTTTTCCCCTTAAAAACGTCATAATTCTATAATCTATATAAATGAGATATTCAAATTTTCTGGAAACATTGACGAAGTTAGAATCTGGTAATCAGACTGCTAAAATTCCATGCAGTTAAAAATCAAACAACTTCCAGGTTTTGTGTCAATGACAGGACCATTGTACATAGCTGAGCAATTACCCAATGATTGGAGAGGACCCATGACTGTTTGTAACCAACTTCTCATTACTATTGGTATACTTGTAGGCAGCATTGTGGCAGGGATTTTTGAACCAATTTCTGGTGGCTGGAGGTAAGGAACATCACAAATTTGTATTTTCTTATCAAGTTTTATAAGGTTTCTTCTCGATATCTAGGAACTAATGAAAGGCACAATTATATAATAATAACTTTAAGGCATGTTGACATTAGCACCCTAACATTATACAGGTGGATGCTGGGACTTAGTTGTGTTCCATCAACAATCATGTTTGTCCTCTTTATTTTTATGCCTAAAAGTGCAAGATGGCTTTATTTTCGAGGAGATATTGAACAAGCGAAGGCCATTCTAATCGAGGTATGAGGAATTTACATGACAGTTGATAGAATGTTATCAAAATAAAAAACCCAAATTCATAGGTGGAACCACTATGCTCCGGTTTTATGAAGTAGAAAAAAAATATATCAGTTTTAAACAAAGCAAATTGATTCATAGAAAACTAACCTATTGTCATACAGTGAAAATATATTTCATGTTTTAATGAATATCATTAAAAGCTCAGAGGAACAGAAGATGTTTCAAAGGAAATGAACGAAATAGCAGAAGATTTTAAACAAACCAATGAAAATGAGAAGCTTGGTGGAAAAGGTTAATTATTTATATATTATCTAAATACAGTAATCAACACAACTTCAGTCAGTATATGCTAGCAATGATAATTGTATGCACAAACTTTAAGAGGTTAAATATAATGTAAATTTAATAAAATTGCTTGCTCTCAGGATTTGAAGTCTTGGTAAATATGATGAAGAATAAGGCAGTAAGAAGAGCACTGTTCCTTGGAGTAATGTTGCAACTATTTCAACAATTCTCGGGCATTAATTCTGTAATGTAAGTAGCTAACTAATCTCCTTTAAAATCTACATTTTAAATTGTTAGATAAATCATACAGTTGAATTACATGCACTGGAATTTATTTGGTAAAATGACATTATAATTCAATAACTAATGCTCTGTATCCACACCCCATTATGTCCAGGTACTACTCAGCTACAATATTGGTAATGTCTGGTGCATCAGCAAATAAAGCAATTTGGCTTTCAACAGCCGTTAGCACAGCTAATGTCACATTTACATTCATAGGTTTGTTTCAAAGTTAAGTTAGAGTTCTTTTGATCCAATTATTCTATAAAGAGAAAGGTAAAAGTTACAGAACTGTAATTTTATAAACATTGAAATCCTATCAGGTTTATTCGGTGTTGAGCGCTTTGGGAGGAAAAAATTACTCCTTGGAAGTATGGCTGTGATGATGTTGGGACTATCGTTACTTGGAGTAGCATTCATAGTTATCACAAATTCTTCAAAAGCAATGGATGTTGCAGGTACCGTATTGAAAGATTTCCTTTTGCTTCACCTGATTATGAGCGTTAAAATTTTCCACAAGATATACTAGCTTCTAATTTCAACTACATTAATTTGGTCTCTTTCAGGAGTTTCGGATTGTGCTGGTGAAATAATTGCTGAATCATGTTATAGCTGTGTTGAGTCAAACAATAAATGTGGAATTTGTGAGGGTGCATCTGGGAGTCTGATGTGTTTATCAACAAATGTGACATTAATTTCGGATATAACACAATACTGTGCTTCAGGTGAGTGATATAAAACATCATGGTGGATCGAAACGTGATACAATGCATCGGAAACAAGAATTTGTATCCTCAGCAAAATTGCAGCTGAAAGAAATGATATAAAAGGAATCATTCAAATACTATTGTGCAAGCCTGAGTTTGGCCATTGACCCACCTGCACCCTGGCCTTACCTTCACCTCAATAAAATAACACTATTCTTGGCATTTATAAAATATAAACCCCTCAGCCTTCTTCCTTAAGCTGGCTTACATAACCTGTTAATGATCCCTATACTAATAGTAAAATATTGATGTTGCTCTCTTAGGAGTCACAGATATAGAAAAAGTTTGTAAGACGAAAGAATCGTGGTTAGCTATAGTGGGCTTAATTATCTACATCATGGGCTTTGCACCAGGAATGGGCCCACTTCCTTGGACCATCAACAGGTAAATATGGAAAATTTTATCAAAATGCAGCAACTGCTTAAGTTTTATAGTCTTATTCATTGTGACTTGAAGGTAATTTCCTCAACCAACTTGGAATGACAGATGTGTAAGATTTAGGTAATATACATTTCAAATACTAAATACCATTATTAACAAGTCTTATTCCTGCAAGCGAAATTTTTCCAAACTGGGCAAGGGATACAGCTCTTTCTTTGACGACATTTACTAATTGGGTCTGCAATAGCATAATTTCACAGGTATTATTATTATATATAGTCCATTTATTGTTATAATGACATTTACATATTATAGGGAAATCAAAATAGAAATATGAATCACAGTATTATAAAAATTTCTCATGTTTCATAAATGTTTAACTAAGTTTTGATTTTATTTTAAGTCTTAAGAAGAATTAGTGTTCATGTATTTACGATTTAGTCTATTATGCTTTACCTAAATATTTTGATTTTTCACTAATAACCATATATATTGCTACACAGTTTATATTTCAGACGTTCCTCCAACTTTCGAATGCTGCAACACCATCTGGAGCATTCTTCACCTACTGTGCAATAACGTTTGTAGGAATGGTTTATTTCTTCATTTGTTTACCGGAAACGAAAGGAATTTCACTTGAACATACAGAAGAACTTTTTGAAAGCAGGCTTACATTTGCGGGATTTAAGGCTGGATATGAGCCAAAGAATAAAAACAATTACTTGAATGAGTAGTGACTTTCCAAGCAACAAATTTGCAGCTCACATTGTAAGTAGGACATAATATAATCCATTTAATAGTGTATAGTGTATAGTACAGAGATCATGGTCATTGGGAAAGATACATCGCAGCACCCACTCCCAGAGAATAGGACCATAGATATAACTGTCGATGGAAACTCTGCAAAGCAGGTCACTCAATTCACTTATTTAGGTGTCAAAATTACATCAGATGGCAAGATTGATAAAGAAATAAGTGTCAGGATTGGAAAAGCAACCGGAGCTTTTAACCAACTCAACAACATTTGGAAGAATAAGAACATAAGCATTAACAACAAAGTGCGAATCTACATTGCAGCTGTTCTTACCATTCTGACCTATGGATGTGAGATATGGAACACGACTCAAGTGCAGACAAGAAGATTGGAGTCTTTCCATCAGTACTGCTTAAGAAGAATCCTGAGAGTGAGGTGGTTCCATCGAGTAAGTAATGAGGATGTTTTAAGAAGGGCATCAATAACTGCCCTTGCTGACATAATAACAACAAAACGGCTGCGTTGGTTTGGACATGTCAGTAGAATGCCTGAAGATCGGTTACCCAACTATTTACTTGAATGGAAACCCAAGCATGGGAAGAGATCAAGAGGCAGGCCTAGGAAGAGCTTAAATGATGTATTCATTGAGGATGCTGAGCAGAGATTGGATCGTAATGGACTCACGATTGATTGTATGAGAAGATTAGCTGCAGACCGAAAGGGATGGAGAAATGTTACCCGCCGAAGTTGTATAATACAAAGTAATGACGCAGTCGACGCAGACTAATCCTTTTGGATGGAGATCTCGCCATGTAACATGTATGTATGTATAGTACAGACCTTAACAAGATTCGATGTGTGATCTTTTGACAGAACGCTCTACCAAGGTGTAATGAAAACTGGCCACGGGCCTAAATATTACATATCAATCAATTACAATTCATTAATATTATCAATATTAAAAACTATCGAAAATATCCAAGAAAGTATTCTCTAGCCAAAGGGCTCAATATTTAAATCTAAATCTTCAATATTGTCTGGTTTATATCGCAACTTGGGCCCTCTGTCCCCCCTTATCGAAATAACCGTTGTCTTTAATACCTCAAAGCGCAAGCGCTTTCTAAGATATGTAACTGAGTCTGAATAACGCTGACCCGTTGGAGATTCCATCTTTACACCAAGGTGTAATGTCTCTTAATTATAAATAGGCGATGTCCTTTACCATTTGCCTAGACGTAGATGTGTGCTAATCAATTTGTTTTACTTAAATTTTGTTTTACTTAATAAAACTAAATCAGTTTTGAAAACAGTTCATAAGTATATTTTGAGGCAAAATAAATAATTTAGGGTGCCAAAATTCAAGGCTGACCCAAATTCATGGCGCTTACTTAGTAATACTTATTTTACAAAGTTAAAAAATTTAAATTATCTTTAAATTTATTATTGTAACTCAAATATTTTGTAATATCGCACGAATATAAAATACTGAACTGTGTATACTGTAATATAAATATTAAATACAACAAATTTACATTTTATTTGTATGCATGTTTACATTAAAATTTGAAAGGGTGCACACGCAAGTTTAAAATTTTTAATTTGTTGCGTTTTAGTTACTGGGCGACAAAAATGAAAAACCAAATAAAGTGAACTTTACTGGGCCGCGCTCAGCCTGTCATTCCGCCGAATCTCTATTCTATGTTTATGAACATGATAGCCTGAGGTCCCCAGGTAAAGTGAACTTAAATGACAATAATCTGTTTGCTCTTAGCTCTATCCAGAGCCCTTGCGCTTGCAGTGGCGCGCGCCCGCCTCATTCACATAGCCATGTGTATACGCGTACTGCGTGACGCGCTTGTTTCTTTTGCCGCCTACGGCGGACGCGCGCTACTGCAAGCGAGAGGGCTTTTGTTAGAGCAACCCGCCTCACGGCGTTTCTTGACTTGTGACTTGTAAAACAAGCGCGCCCGCAGCGGCGCGAAAACACATGGTTAGGTGAAGTAATCTGTACTTAATTGTTAACGGATGTTACTTGTCTAAATTTCTTCGAAGTAGCGCGCGCCGCTTTCTTCTCGAAATGAAAGTGCTACGAAGTAGCGTGCGCCGGGCCAAGTCATCAACAACAAACAATGGTCAATTTAATTGACAATGTTTATTCTTCGCAGCTCGACGAGGCCCAGTAGCGCATTTCGCTTTACCTGAGGACCCCAGGCTTTAATGTTGTTATTAAATAGAGATTAGGCGGAATGACAGGCTGAGCGCGGCCCAGTAAATTTCGCTGCAATTTAACGAAGTTGATTGCGAGGAGCATTATTGGATGCGCGGCGCGGCCCAGTAACGCATCGCACTACAAATCTGTACAAGCTGTTTTTATAAAATTTTATCATGTAAATAATTTAAAAGTTTTTATCGGCACCAAGCTTACATTTGAATATTGATTGACGATGTCAACCCATTGAGATTGTTGCTCTGCGAAGCAAAGCAACGATCGACGATGCGAAGCAAAAATGCTAGTTTGCGCGGCTAACGGGTAATACTCGTAAAATATTTGTTCCAACTCGGCGCGCGTCCTGGTCACCCCAGCGAACGCCGCGGGCTTCATGCGCCGCTAAAACGTTTAAATTTCATTTTTATAATTCTCCCAAGACTCCTGTTAAGACAAATTGCGAATGTTTAGCTTTAAAACTACTCTGTTCTTGAAACAATTGTTTTAATCATCGAATACTGAAGAGTTCAATTCAATCCAAGGTAAATTGTTCAAATTATGAGTGATCATGAATGAAAAATGAATAATTTACACGTAAAATTTGCCTCGAAATTTTTCTTGAAAAATAACCATAACTCTGGCTATGATTTGAATTTTGAAAATTTAAAATGCTAGTGCCGCGCACAAAAATGTTCCGCGCATTTAAAACGTGTCGATAATGCGCTCAAACCAATGTCGCGTTGGATAATAGTATCCAAGCTGGTTGAATTCACAATTTTCATTTCTTGTTCCAGTTTGTAGCTTTGTGTGGCAGCCATATTGGTTTTATGCGTGCGCTTATATTGCGCGCTACCTATATATCTTACCGTTAAATGTACGTTTACAGATTTAATCGAGATCTCTGCGAGGCTTTCATAATTATGTATGATATAGCTTGATATGCTGTTACTTCAAATTGCTGTAATTTCTATTTATATTGACTGAAGTAGAGTACAAAATAAAATTATTTGCTCTCTAATTTTAAGGATGTCGACCTGCAACTGAAATTGAGTGATATTCGACTATTTCAATTTAGATTCGCTAGTCAACAAAATGATTGCTCACTCCGAAATAACGACTTTCAAGGAATGGTATGTACCCTATTATTTACAACAAGGCTCCCAGCATTATAGTAAAACATAGACAATAGACAATATTTTAATATAAACTACAGGGTGGGCCAAAAGTCAGTGTGCAAACGTTGGGTCTTATACCTCCACCGTGTTTTATATTTGAGAGCTGTTGCTTTGCAGATGGCATACTGTACTTACTGGTTCGAGGATTCCGTCGTCAAAATTTGAAAATTCGAATATTTTAGACCACGCCCATTCAATATTAAAACACCTATATTGTTTTCTCTGAACATGCTGAACGCCTAATGTTTTCAGAGACGGTAGATTATCAAATGTTGCATATGATCTGAAAACATGAGGCAAAACGGATTAGAAATGACGAAGTTATCAAGCATTTTGTGTATCTCGTTAACAAAATTGACTGGGTGATTATGTGACACCGTGACACGACACCTTAATTGGGCACCCTTAACAATTCCCATAATGTTTAACGGGGTAGTTAACGGGGTCACCTTATCAGGTGATTACGTAAACCAATCACCTGATCACACGTAATGAATAAACTCGTTATGCTTCATATCTCGGTCATTTGAGAAGCTACAGTTCTAATTCTTTCAGGACAAACGTAATTCGAATGGCCAAACACAATTCAATAACATTTAGCTTGATCCGACTATCCAAACTATCAAATAAATGTGAAAATGAACCTCCATTTGAAAAAAATGAACGCGAATATTTTTCGAGTTGACAAATTCCTCGAACCAGTGGTGGTACCAAGTCATACCAGAAGGAAGTATTTCAATTGGGCACTCAGTGACTGAGCTATTAAGGCCAACGTTTGCACACTGACTTTTGGCCCACCCTGTATAATTAATTTTTGACCGGGAACATTCAGCAGTTAACTTTGTCGTATTTTAAAACAAGTAACTCGGGCCCAGTTCGTAGAGAAGATGGATTTGCTGTATTTTAAAACAAGTAACTCGGGCCCAGTTCGTAGAGAAGATGGATTTGCTGTATTTTAAAACAAGTAACTCGGGCCCAGTTCGTAGAGAAGATGGATTTGCTGTATTTTAAAACAAGTAACTCGGGCCCAGTTCGTAGAGAAGATGGATTTGCTGTATTTTAAAACAAGTAACTCGGGCCCAGTTCGTAGAGAAGATGGATTTGCTGTATTTTAAAACAAGTAACTCGGGCCCAGTTCGTAGAGAAGATGGATTTGCTGTATTTTAAAACAAGTAACTCGGGCCCAGTTCGTAGAGAAGATGGATTTGCTGTATTTTAAAACAAGTCACTCGGGCCCAGTTCGTAGAGAAGATGGATTTGCTGTATTTTAAAACAAGTAACTCGGGCCCAGTTCGTAGAGAAGATGGATTTGCTGTATTTTAAAACAAGTAACTCGGGCCCAGTTCGTAGAGAAGATGGATTTGCTGTATTTTAAAACAAGTAACTCGGGCCCAGTTCGTAGAGAAGATGGATTTGCTGTATTTTAAAACAAGTAACTCGGGCCCAGTTCGTAGAGAAGATGGATTTGCTGTATTTTAAAACAAGTAACTCGGGCCCAGTTCGTAGAGAAGATGGATTTGCTGTATTTTAAAACAAGTAACTCGGGCCCAGTTCGTAGAGAAGATGGATTTGTTGTATTTTAAAACAAGTAACTCGGGCCCAGTTCGTAGAGAAGATGGATTTGCTGTATTTTAAAACAAGTAACTCGGGCCCAGTTCGTAGAGAAGATGGATTTGCTG